TTTGCAGCATGTTTATAACACAGCCTCAATTTTTGTTCATTTTGAAATTGAGAAGTAAAATCTATCTCGTTTTCTGTTTGAAAGTGCGCTATCATTTGATGACGGAAATTGATTTGAAAAATGGCTCTTCGGGGCGCGAAAAGACTTCGGGACTATCAGTTGAGTAACGCTGAGAAACGCCTAGCCTGTGAACAGGTTCTGGCTGAAAGGGCCAAAAAGGAACTAGCTGAGAGTGAAGTGTCCTGTCCACAGGCTAAATAACGCCCACCTGGGCGGTTCCAGTACGCGAGTTCTCCGCAGATCGAGAGGATAGAAAGGATGTCAAAAGACGCCTCAAGAGGTTTTCAAGTGTGTTTTTTTTTCTGCTGACTGTCATAAAAACAGGAAAAATGGAAAACCAGCTGTAGTGGAACTTTGACATAATGAAAGGCCAAGGGACTGGCTAAATATGTTCCCAAAATAAACGAGTTTTCGTTATATTGAGTCTCTTTTCCATGCATTTTATTTTTACTGGGGCGAAGAATATCGTTGGTTATACCGAGGGCTCAGTTATACCGAGGTTCTTTACATCGATGTTCTACAGCACTCAGTCACACACTGAGCTCCTGGACTTTACTCGGTTCCAAAACTATCGTCAAGAGAAAGACGAAAACACTTGAGTGGTGACACGAAACAATAGCCTTGCGGAACAGATTAACGCCGGCATTTGCGGGACAAAACACGAAGCGCTTGCCTTAGCCTCTTGCAGGCGTTCAGTTAGTTGGGGCGTAGCACGAAAAACGGTTTTGCTCGCCGATCTTCGCGCTGCGCCCCAACTAACTGAACGCCTAGAAGAGGCTACGCTAGCCTAGAGGATCCCGATTCGCCCTCTAGCCCATTGATCCGCCCTCTGCAGTTTACGAGTTTTCGGTGGCCTTTCATGTTATTTTTAAGAGACCCCGAAGGAGACTAAAACAGCGGCTTGAATGGCTTCGAAGGAGGCTAAAACAACGGCTGCGAAGTGTAATGGGACGGTAATAACTCGTCTTTGATTGAGACCTTTACACAGCTGCCGGCTGTTATATACGATTGCGAAATGCTAACTGTGAAGACCCACGCATTGCTGTCACAATGGTGTCTTGTTGACATTGGTATCTTACCAGGAACAACAGGAAGTCTAATGTGATTCAGTTCCTGGACTCCTGGAAGTCCAGGAAACGCATATCTCTGCGTGAAATAAAGTAGTTATCTTCCCAGGTCTGTTATCTTCTGTTCGATGGTGCAGTCATCAATAAATTCGTGTTTTCCGGCTCACAAAAGCTAGCTTCCCTGTTCTTAAAAGTGATCAGTTTTCTTGTTGCTTTGGAGGAGAATGGAGAAAAGCAGTGGTCCTTTAAGAAAACCAAGCAAAGATACTCAGTCTTTCGGTTTTGTTTTGTTTCGTTTATTTAAAATAGTATTATACCTCTCAGTTTCCAAAGCGAATTGCTATTTAAGAAGGGATGGATAACTCAAAGTTTGGTAATTGCATTGTATTGTCACATGTGCTTATCTGGACAGCGTAAAGTACTAACATGAAAAAATTGCATTTAACCAACGGATTACCACCAAAGTGGATGACATTTCGCAGACGTGAAACGTTCCTCAGCACTCGAATAATTCATGATTTTCTTGAGAATTTCCTTCAGATACTAATGGTCTTTTACGGGTTGTTACTAGATAATTTATCAGCCATGTCCTCAACGGGAAAGGAACAATTATAATTAATAAGTACCTCCCTCAAGATACTGCTGCCAATATTTTTTGATTACATGGCCAACGGAAGGAAAACTAATGAAGTGTTAGACACGCCCCCGCAGTTTTTACCCCCCTCACAAGATTAAGGTATTATCACCTCCGTAAATTATCCAGGAAAAAACGCTTTTTCTGGTGTTTAAAAATTCCGACAGTGCTAATGAGTTAAACCCGAGGAATGAGAAATCATTTTTATGCCAGAAATATTTTATACATTGGCTGGAACTAAGTGGCAACAAAAGTCGAACAGAGCCATTTTGTAAGTAGCACTGATTAGGCTGGCTTCGCTCAGCTTCAATCAAACTGCCACTGATTCAATTGGCTTGCTTGCGGACACTAAACTACTGTTTGTTATCATTATCTGATTATATTCCATTCTAGACTAAATAGACTAATTAAATAGAAACCTGACTTGTTGGGCGTTTTCCAAATTGGTGAAGATTAATTTTCTCCTAAGCTTTTCCCCAAATGATCTACGGACTGTGCAGGAGAAAAAACAGTTGTTACCCGTCAAATGACTTCGATATTTTTAGTAATTTGCGCCGGCTGAGTTAAATTCTACCATATTATAAATGAATCAAAGAATAGTTTATGGTACGATAGACACAATCGGGAATTTGTCGTATTCAGTTTTCAGTTTAATGTGGGGTTAGTTTCGGGTTTTTATCCAAACAAATCGACAGGTTTTAATCCCGAAACTGTAAGGTGTCTATTCCACTCACAAAAATCCTTAACATGCCGCTCTGTTCGCCAGGGTGTCGAGTTCATAGCGGACTTATCCACATTCTTCATGTCTGTGTTTGACAGATTTCTGTGAAAAATGAGGTATTTTCCACTTGTCACGGTGGGAAATTTTCGCTTAAAAAGGTTTTGATTGTGGCGCTGGTTAACAGTGTCATTCGAAATGGCGATTAGCGGCAAACTTTGACAACGTCGCGTCCTGTTACGCGGAGGCGCGAAGACCGGACGCCTTCACTTTAGGAGTATTCACTTGATGTTATTACTTCATTTTTCATCACACAAGTGACACTTCAACAGAATGTTATTAATAAAAAGCGAATTGCATCTGTTGAAAAACAACACGAGCGAAAGAAAAGACGTGTAGGGGAACTTACAAAAAAACAGCCTAAACTTTTAATTGAAAGTTGTCTGAAACAAAAGCCGATTATAGATGTCTGAACCAAGCTAATTGGTCTATGAACCAACTCGTCCAACAGACCTTGGGCCTAATTGATATGACATTGTTTTGGCGTTTTTGACCCTCGTTCCGGCTCTATAGGAATAAACCTTCTCTAAACATACTTCTATAAATTCAATTTTTAAAAGTATATTCTTTTCCGTTTCGTTCAGTCGCTACAAAAGAAAAGATCTGGCCTGCTTTTAAGGAAAAATTCCAGAAACGCACTATGTGGCTTTTAGCTGCTTTTGATAGGTGGGGTATATTTACAAAACACACGAGTTCTCTTGTCAGTATGAGCGGCCTGGTTCCTGCCAAATCCCGGTCGCCAACAGAGCCCTCGGTAAAATTAGCCCATACTCTTTCCTTCGACCGGACATAGCCAGCGGCAGAATTGTAAAATTTTCCTACTGTCCACAAGAAAACTGACTCAAAACTGATGAATACTTTTTTCATACTAGCAAAAACAACGTGTAAAAATGCATATTTTGGGCTACGTTATACTAGACACGTCAGTTCAACTGATGATCAACGAGTTCTTGGGGTCCTTAGTTACAACGTGGTGGAATTGAGAAAGGTTTTTAGGCATTGTGTTGATCATTTTTACCTGTCCAGTTGTCAACTCCTTTTTAATCCGGCCCAGCAGCATTTCCGCCTGAGGAAATAAAATCGTTTATCTTCCAAACAGACCATACCACAGTGCAAATTTACAATATTCGTTCCGAGCAAAGTAAAACTAATTAATGCCAATTGCAAGATTCAGAACTCATATGGAAGGAAACATATTCGCTCCTTTCCTCCTCTCACATGATAAAAGGGTGAAAACTCTGAAAGGAACGGGTATCTCAACGCATTTAGCGCTCTCAAAGATTGAATATCTGCTAATTTTACGTTCTATTAATAGTTTGTTTGATAGGCGGTCAACAGCTGAGGAAAAACTCTCAACATGATATTAAGGGAAAAAATACGTTGAAATTATCCGGGTTTTTTGATGTCCTGTATTTCTTTAAGATTTCATATCTGCTTTATGCGTCACTCAGACGAGAGCCGGTGAGGCGGGACAAAGGTAAAACATCCAAAGGTTACTGTCGTCTGTCAGTCTTTCGTGGTGATACTGTTTACTTCAATTTGACTGTGGAAAAAAAAAGATCTTTTAGCTCTCGCTAAATCTCCTCAATTAAACAAAGGTCGTGAAAAAGTACAACAGTTTCAGAATCTGTTCTTTTTTTAGACCTTTTTCTTTATTATTTTTAAAGCCAATTTGGAAAAATAAACGAATCGGAGAAGATTAAAAGGTACATTAATCAATCCTAATGGAATTAAAAGCCGTCACCAGTCTAAGGTTTGAACAGTTGTCTAAAACCTTGTCCGCTAATTGCAGCTGATATAACGGTTCTCTTTTCAGGAAAGTTAAGAAACAAAAGGAAAATAATGTTTTTAAAGGAACTGTCAAAGGCTTGTTTTGATGAATTACGCAGCGACCAATTAGCAAATGGCACTCAAGAATCGTTTTAACGCACTGAACATAAAAGCATGAAGAGAATAAACACAGAAACAAGCAAAAAGGGAACTTAATGGCTTTTATTTTGCATCGTTTTAAGATTGTCACAGGTTTTAGGGGTTTAATAGGGTCGTCGCTATCCCTGAGTAAAGAATGCGAGTAATGTGCGGCGCCTCAATGTGAGCTTAACCATGCTTAAGGCTGCGTGTTTCTGTGGGATATCGCGTCAATAAAGACAAAAGGAGAAATTAATTAGGCGATTTTAGAGATAATTTTGCTCTGGCCGCGTGATAACACGGTGGAGTAGTTTTTCCATTCGTGTAACCCAATCCCATTTTGAACGCACACGTATCACTTTGCAATTTCCAAAAGAAAATAAAAGGGCCGTATGGCCTGAAAGCTGTTGACTCAAAAACTCGTGTTTTGCGAGATAATTGCTCCAACCACTTCATTTACAAATGTGATTTGGCAGCTTCTAAAATGTTGTCTTTGTCCTAACAAGGTTACATTGATAGCGATGACAGTTTAATTCAATTTATCTTCGGTTTCCAAATTTGACGGGCTGCCACGCTAATTGAATTACTTCATGAGCGCTCGAAAGCTGATTGGTCGCAGGGCTAGGTAAATACTTTAATTAATTAGTCATCAATTTCGCACAAGCTGTATAATTTAATTGGCGCATCTACAGGCTGGGTGAAAACTCCGAGGTGGCTCGCTCTCGGTGAGTTACGAATCAAAGGCCCGCCACTCTAAAGCTATTTTCGATCACAGAGCTTTGCGTAAAGTACTTGTGCGATTTTCAATTGCCGTCGTGCGGTAGAAGCTTTTCCACATGGAGATACAAAGAAATGAAAACAATTCGTCTAATTCAAGTACGGACAACGTGCATGGGAGAAACTCAAATCACGGAGACAGAGTTGCCAGTAACAAAGTATTGCCTTTTTCTATTGAGGCAATCCTAAGCGCTCCGCATCCTAAGAAAGAAACGCCGGCTACAAGGAAGCGGCCGCTTTCGAATTGGCAAGAAAACTCTGCGGATTTGACGTCACCCCTTTCAACTCTGGAGGACTTTACAAGTAGCAATTTGCCAGAAGACATTTCAGTTAATACAGCGAACGCCGAAATAGGTATGATGAAAATCCTGCTGTTATTTAACTCTACATAGCCAGGAAACTCTTAGTGGGAAGTAATTCCGCATAAGCTCTTGAAAGCTTTTATTCTCTCGCGCTTGTAAACACATCTCAAAATTACGTTCTCTCGATCAAATCCGCTTCCACAGAGTAGTATAAATATTAGTGACCTGGAACAATCTTGAAGCAATCGAAAAACAGTTTTAGCTTTGTTGTTTATTCACGATTTGCATAGCTCAAGCGGAAGAGTTGATTTTCCTTTCCTCGACTTTTGTTTTCATTTCTAATGCGCGGTTTGTTTTAAAAAAAAAATTTCAGTAAAGTTGTTAATATGGTAAATATGGTGTGCTGTTTCCTAGCTTCGAGAAGTCTCCAACAGAAGCTTATGGCCTTTCAAGCAAGACTCAACGCCAGAAAACGACGGAAGGCGAGAACATGCTTTACGAATCAACAGATATTTGAGCTTGAAAGACGGTTTGTGTACCAAAAGTATCTTTCGCCTTCTGACAGAGACGAAATTGCACAGTCGCTGGGAATTTCTGGAGCGCAAGTAATAACATGGTTCCAAAACAGAAGGGCGAAATTTCGAAGAGATCTGGAAGAATTAAAAAGCGACGTTCAAGCTGCGAAGATTATGGACAACAAGCAAGTCAGCCGATTGTGCAAGCGTTTGGAAATTTAACGAAGGCCCTTAGGGGTGCTTTAATCTTGAAGCTTCTTCCATTTCTGCGGGCTGCCTACTCAGTTGTTATAGACTTCTTCTCCACAAGAAAAATTGCTCAAGGTGTTCTTGTTTTCCCTGATTTCGTTTTCTCGATCCATGGACGTTCATTCACAGACAATTAACATTATACAGAACCACTCAGTATAGAAACGCATGGTTCAGTCGTGGTGGATGGTTTAAAATATACGTAGATTCATTACTAGTTTACAGAACTTTTAAGTTGTCCTAGTCGAACCGATTGTTGAGTTTGTAGTGCGGGATGTTTGCGTTTCTCTCGTTGATTCTTTCATTGAATCTGTTGAACAAATCTTCTTAAATAACATGATTTGTCTCAAGGTTAAATGCTCTGGTTAAACTGTACCGGCCACAACCATAAATCATTGAACGTAGTGACACAACTGAGGTAAGACACTAAATGAACCATAAATCAACCGGCCTGTCTACTTAGCTGGAGACGGCGGATTCACTGATTTAAGCCAAAAAACGCCGTCATAGACAAGTTCCGGATATCACGTTTTAAAATCTAACATGGCTCTAAATTGAGTTGACTGGTTTTCTTTTCTTTCTCGTGTCCAAAATGTTTGTTCCGCCTAATATTGTTTCCTTTCTTTAAACACTCGCGTACTCATACAATGACCGGCTGCATGTCAACGTGATACCAGTGCCAAAGTCCTTGATAACTGTAAAAGAAAGGTTGCAAATATCAAATTATCGAGTTTCGCGTTTGTAGATATGAATAAACTACGAAGACATAATTTCTTTGTTGTTTTGTTCTTCTTCCTGAAAGACAATTTTTTGGTTTGTTGCATTGCTTCGTCCATACAGAGCAACTTACAGTCAACTTAGCAGTTGCGCTTTTCTTGGCGATTCCAGGACCGCCATCTTAGGCTAGAAAATTCTACAGTCCTGTTTGATGAAGCCCTTTTTTGAGGAGCTAGCTTTTTTAGACATACTAGGCTAGCAGAAGATGTAATAGAATCATTATCAGAGGTTTCCTTTTGTGACAAATAGTAACACCAACATGCCTGCCTGAATGTGAAATATGCCATCTTCAATGTGTTATCTTCTCGCGACAGATTGCGGGAGGGTCAGGGAAGCTTATTCAATCAGGACAATACCTTTCAAAAATGATTTATAAACTAAGGAAACAGAAGTGTGAAACCATTCGTTAGCTTCCAAGAGAGCTTTTGTCTCTTTATCCAGTGATGGATTGTCTCGCTGAGGGGACTCGTGAGAACTGGTAAAAGAGTGTTTTTCTTGCGGTGGGTGCTGTTTTGTGACCAACTCCGCGATCAAATGAACACTTTTCTTCTCGCGGTGTGAGGATCGCCACTTACAGTTCCAGTGGCGATCAACTCTGATAGATGACTTGCTTTTGTTTTCTTTAGAGTTTCAAAGAGTAGCTGAAAAACTACTGTTTTGTAAAGGATATAATACCGCTCAGTGGCACAACCTAAAGATGCTTCGTGACCCACTGTAAGGTTACATCCAAAACTCTCTTTAGAGTGTCACTTTACCTGCGTTTAGCAATTCTGTTGCCCTGTTTTCTGTCTCATCTCTGCATCGTCATAATCAACCAATCTTGATGCATTTAACGACCATTAAAACAATTTCAAATTGCCTCTAGCTTCGCGAAGAAACACTACATCGAATTTGGTCCACAAGAACAGTCAGGAATTCCGGATTAAAGGGCAATAATCTATTCGGTATAGAGCCAAGAAACACAATAAGTCGTTTACGCACTTGTGTACGTACGACAGCATGATTTATGGCGCTTTGAAATTTAGCGTCGACAACATAGTCCCCCAGAAAGCTTTAATAAGCAGTTCTTTAGCAGAGGTTAATTTTGAGCCGGGCATGTCGACATTTCAAAGTCGCTTCTTCACTTGCTAACAAGGATTATTTTCAGTCACAACTCGGCAGAGTCTAGAAGAAAATGGACACCACGAAACAGACAGGTTGCGGAAGTTTTTGAATCTCTAATTGTAAGTCTGAGCCGAGTATCTAGAGTAATATCTCTCTCGTCTGCCAAGGTTTTTCCTCCAAGTGAAAAAAGAAACGGATAAAGTAAAAGAAAAGGTGATTCGTGAGTGGTTTGGGGAAATCATGGTGTATAGGATTCACTCAAGCAAGAACCTGACAAAATTTGTCAGGAAACATCCAAAATCAAGGGAAACTATGTAACTGTTTCGTATTTTTTTTTTAAATTAACTTAAATAAAAAGAATTCCAGCAAATTTTTTTGCACAAACTACCGAAAAGGTGTAACATAACAAACTGAAATTGAAACCCAGATAGTAGAGATAGACAAATAGTAATCACAGAGATGTGAACACTTCATCTTCTCTGTCATGTCATTGTTTACGTTGCGAACTTTCTGTGCACTGAAAAGGATTTTAGACGTGGAATGTTCTGTAAATGAACGGGATTTCAGCAGAGAACACAATAGAAAAATAGTCATTAATTTTAACGGCGACAGATATAAAGGGGATTTGTGTGAACTTTCACTGCTGGAATGTGAATTCGTACACGGACTCAACAACTAACCACAGGTAAGTGGTTTTGACTTTACAAAGCACTAGAAATATATTCACTACTCCAAAATACAGCATGAGAGACACACTTGAAGTTTCTTTACATTTATTGAATACAGCTCAATATTTGAAGCGGTATGATTGTTATTTGTGGACAATGCCAACGTAAGTCTTTAATCCGTAAAACTAATAGGTGCTTCAATCTATACAAAATTCCACTGATATCGCAGCATCAACGAACCCCTCGACCTGGGTGGGGTTTATTTTATCAGTTTACTCTTTCGAAATCTAGTGCTAAGCTTCGCTAACGACCTAGTGAAGCTTCATCATTGTATGTCTAAAAACATTAGTAAGTGTCGACTGCGCTCAATACTGTCGATAGTCTCTTTTAGGGCCTATACTTGGAGAGTGTTCTTGTAAAGAAATGTTTTGCTCGGCCCTCCGATTATTAAGTAATGCATAGGAAGGAAGGTAAAATAATTGGTCACGGAATTTAAGGTGTGGCTCTCCTTTCCAGTGTTCCTCAGGGTCCCTCTGACTTTATTAATTTTATTCTGTTCACTAGAAGTCATTATAATCTGAGCGCAAATTGTGTTCAACAGCGATGCGTTAGCATTGTGTATCGAGTTGAGCTTCTATCAACGGAAGTGTTGAAGTAGCCAGACCCAAATGGTTAACAAGATTGGAAACTCGGCGCTAAAGCGGTGCTTCTTTCTGAAACAGAACCAGAAACTTAAGTGATAAACTTACGCCTTTTTCGTAGTAATGATGTGATAAAAGGTGGAAACTGCGAACAGAATACCTGGTGAAACTTTAGAGAGGAAACGGATCAGAACCTGAAAGGTTAAACTCGCCGCTGTAGACAACAATATAAACGCATTTCACAAGGGCTCCGGCGTCAACGGCCCTTCCTCGATTTCAAAATCTCGTTACCCGATCAGTGTGTTTAACACTAGGGGCGACCTCGTACCTAAAATAACCCCCTTAACAGCGCCAAGAAGTTCAGAGTTGTCTAAACAAGGTTGGCAGGAAAAAAGTTATCTTTTGATCAGACACATCAATCTCTGCCATCGGTAAAACTGACGCGTACGTGCTCCCTTAGAAATGACCTCCACAAATGAAATGAAAAAGTGTGTGTAAACAGATAACGCTGACGAGCTACGCTCGAGGAACACTGCACGCACTGGATAACAAGAGAGGTCCTGTAATAATAAACCCACTGTGGCAGCAAATGTGCTTTACACTACTCCTTAGTACGGTTGTATTTTGGTGAAATTTCAAAATACCACAGCCGTACAACTGACTTTCTAGGATAGAGAGACACCCATCGCTATGGATCCTGGAAAATCTCTAAGCTTATCCAAGAGTTCGCCCCCTGGCTGCATGAAGTCAAGTAGCATACCGTTTTGAGAACCTGTAGCAGCAATTTTAGCTATAAAGCAATCAACTATGTTGTATTTTGGCTAACTCTGAATAAATACGACAAAACAGACTCGATTTGGAAATGAATATGGAATATTTTTGGCTCAGAACCTTTACAATTTCCGCTCGATTATGCAGTGTCGTGTTCTCCTTTACTCCAATTCTTGATTGCTAAGCTCTTAAACTTTTCTAATATTTCTATTCACTTTGCGAGACCTCGTTTAGATGCACGAAACACTCGAAATACTACATTGTACTTTCTCCTCTACTTGAAAGAAATCGTTTCACAATCAGTGATAATTTGGCAGGTTATCGCATGTTTGGCAATTTACCAGATTCTGTTTAAGCTCACAAAAGGAACAATTTTTAGGTGATGTTAGAGCTGTCTACTTCCAACTGGAAAATCTAAACTAGAAAATCTAAATGGTATATTCTGTTAAAAGTAAGTGTGTCAAACTTGCCAAGGAAAGCAAAGTATCTAATGAGGTTGTTGTCACGAACATTCGACTCTGATATTTGAATTATAACACTATTAAAATACCGAAAAAAAAATCAGCTTTGTATTGATGCTAATAAACTCCAAGGGTAAATTGTATTAAGTGACAGAAGTTCGTTAAAACAATATAAGTTTTCTTTTGTCTGTGAAGTGTAGGTTTATTGCAGTGTGAAATTATCGCTACACTGAGTTGTCAACTGATTTGAGCTCGGTGGCAAAAACCGCACCCATAGTTCACGACGGTTGGGACAAATCTACATTAATTCTTGACAGCTGTACTGCTTATATGTAATTCTATTGACTTCATTACTTATTGGTCAGTGAAGATTGTGAAGTTAGCGTTTACAGACGTTGGTAAACAAACAATTAGCTTAAATTCCTTTCAAAACTTTGCTTTCGTGTTTATTCAGTACAGGTTGACATACATAGTCTGAGCTCAAATTATGTAGGGTGCATTTCAATACCACCTATGACGAACTCAGAAATAAGACGACCTATAGTTTAGGACGAGTGCTAACTTTACATTCTAGAAAGCTATTCTTTGCTACTTCTTTCCAACATTATGATTTCTGTGTACCTACTGAAACAACTGTTTGTTCTTATCTTAAAGTTCTTTAGCCCTGACCACAATAAAAAGACCGTCCCCTTACAAAGCTATAATACGTATACTACTGAGCTTCTAGAAAAAATGGTTTGTTTCAAGCCCGCAGGCAATTTCTCATACAGGTCAATGCCTGCCCATATTTTAAGGCTCTAGAAAGAACCGAAAACTGAAAGGAATGAATGAAGAAAGGGTCCCCTAGTTTGTCCCTAAACGAAGCTCAAGTTTCCAATAAACGTGTCAAAGTCGCAAAGATTGAGTCTGGCCTACTCAGTTTCCACGAAAACGAAATTAGTACGTACAATGTTCAGGGCCATCCTGACGCTAACTATCAGCGTTTTACAGAGACAACTCATGGAAGGAAATAGCGAGATAAAGCCCTCAGCAGGATTAACGAGCACACCTACCCTTAGCGATCTTGTTTAGCCGCGATACACTTACGCCATCTTGACCACGACCTTCCTAATCTCCTCAGTGAAATGTAGCAGTTGTTGAAAAAAATAAAACGCGTTTTAGCACTCCGGTCAACACAGATAGAGGTATGCACACCTAATTAATTTTCTGAAGTTCTGACAGTAATTAGATAATTCTTCCGGTAGTAGACATAATCGTATTACCCAGGCATTTGATATCGGTTATCTAGCATTCCATCTGGCGCCTTTGCGGGTCTGTGGTGTGGTAAAGCAGCTCGGTTGTCATCTATATCGAGGTAAAAATCAACATGAACAACAGACAGTCTGTATGGGGTTTTGTTTGCATAGACAAAGGTCAATCGTCATTAGCGCCTGGGAAATTAATAAGTGTCGACGGCCTTTTGAGATGTTAGTGGTAAGCTAGGCTTTTCACCATTGACGTTCACGAACAATGAAAATTAAAGAAACAAATAACGCGAAAGAATGAAAAGCGTTTTTCCGGTTTACACGTACTTTACGAAAAAAGAAAACACCCGTAAAAGAACAAAGCGAGATTTAACCTTCGAAAAGTCAGAAAACCGACGAAGGGGCGGTAAAAGCTGACTTAGATAAACTGTATGCCTTTCAACAAGTTTATCCAGAAAATTTGAGAAGCTACATGATTTTCAAAAATGCATGTATGAATGATCAATAAAATTGTATTAAAGAACTATATCCTCAAAACTTAAATGAATCATGCATACCCTTTATAATATCGGAAAGAAGCTGGTAAACACGTCTGAAACGTTTAGAGCATATTTGTCGTTTACTGAAGAATGGCCTCGAAAACCACTGATTTTCTTTTCTTATTTTTTTTCGAGCATGATCTTGAAAACTAGTTTAAAATGCAATTATGCTCGGTGTTTCAGTTTTCTCCTTATAGGTTATGTTTATTCTGCAAAAAAAAAAAAAAAAAAAAAAAATGTTTACCATTAAGGTGGCTCCCCATAGTTTTACGAGGCTAAATTGTGTTAAACCCACAAACGTTTTTGAAGCTCTTCAGAAAACTCGCGGATGTGTTTAGCGGTTATAACACACTCGGCTACGCCTCGTGTTTTAAATCCGATAAAACACCAATGNAAAAAAAAAAAAAAAAAAAGTTCAAATGTTGTTGTTTATAATGATCAATGCCCACCTTAGTGCTCCTTAGTTACGCGCGCAATGAGTGACAAAAGTATTGAGACCCTTTGCAGTTATATTAAAGACGATTTTCGAGCGTCTTCAAAACTTTTCCACTCTTCCCCCCAAACAATGCTGATTTTTCTAGACCACAGCGCCTACACAACAATTGAATTAGGGGGCCGGGGTATCAAAGAATTAACACTAGATGCAAATAAAACGTACGGAGAGGTTAAAATTGTCTAAACTACTTTTGTCGCCCGTTGTAGCTAGTCCACAGTCATGCCAACGGCTTAAACTGAAAGAAACAAATGTATCAGCCAAACATAATAGGCTTAAAAATCCCTACTAGAGGGAAACCTGCTATCAGGCGTTCTTTAGAACGTCTGATCGTAGGTTAGAGGCAGACCAGTTGGCTATTTACAAGCATGACCGAGGAGTTGAACTAGGATCTACCGAGAAACGACTCCTGTCAGAGCGGGACCTCCGGATTTCAAGTCCGGTGCCCTAACCACTCGGCCACGCTGTCTTCCCTTTATTTTTTCTCGAAGTTTTGACGAGTTTCTTAACTTCGAGATGACTTTTTCAGTTCTTATCCCATGTGATCCAGTCATGAACTGTCAATTTGAATTTGTAAAGTAGTAAACAGACATTAGGATTCCAATTCCTGAAATTACAACTGGTGATTCCAAACCTACAACATTCCCAGAGTCAAACTCGCTGCACTGGTTCAACATTAAGGGGGTTCTTACTTTGCAGCAGAACAAGTGAAACCTCTAATGTGTGACCAATCCACTCCAATGAGAACAACTAAACAGTACTTAAATATGCTATTGTCGGCATTATGTTGTATCATGATGTTGCTCTATGTTTGTATGGATGAAAATGTGCATTTATCATTAAAACGAAAGCTACCCAGCAGCAATCTGACTTAGAAGCCAGTTATCAGTTATGTTGTACAAGGTATGTTATAAGTTCCGAAACACCGACTATTTGATAGAACCAACCATTCAAATGAATATAGGTATTGAGAGCTGATATCGCGCGGTACATCGTAAAATTTCGATCAAGAGCCCGAATCTATTTTAGTTTGAAAGAGTTTTTGGTTGGCCTATTTCTCGAGAGGCTTATTTTGTTATAGCAAGGAATTTGCATCTTAAAAATTGTCGGACATGAATTTGGAAGACATAGAGTCTGAATAATTATGAATGACACAAGAATAGTGTATGTTAACTCGTCTTACTTGTGAGAGCCGTGTATGAGACGCAATGCAAGGCTACCTCTCAACCAATGAGCATCAAATGTCAAAAGCTTCTGAGAGATTGTAATGAAGCTTAATGGCATAAAACAGAAAACTACACATTGTTCTTTGAAAGAAAAATTAAACTTAGCCCATCGACTCATAACCCCTTGGTCTTGTTACTGGCAGGTCAGTCGTGCGTCAAAGATTTGAGAGGCCTAGGGTTGGGTCACTAGGTGTTGGGTTTAGCGTTAGGTCACTTGTAGCTACTTGTTGAGACCTAGTATTAGGTCACTCTGCACTGAGCCTTTCTCACTATAAAAGAGATAAAAGAGGCTCTAATTCTCGCAGGATAGTGTCGGGTTGGCTTTGTATTAGAATTTTACGATATATTCGGGGGGTAATTAGGGCTAACCGGCGCCTCCTGCACTAGAAGTAACAGCTGTCTACGTTGTAATGGTTACAGAGAGGGTTGGAGCCGAGCTAAGCCTTTGATGATCGTTAAGCATAACCACCAATAACATAGAAATTATGAAACTCTGTCATCGGTTGGAATTTATTTGATCAGTTTTCCTTTTTTCAGTCTGTACAAAAAGAAGTTTTCGGAATCAATTTTCGCCAAAACTTGAATTAATGAACTCGACCTCCTTCTCGGGAATCTTGTTTTCCAAGTAAGGCCGGGGAAACAGCGTCGGAAACACGGTGTTTTCGCGACAAGGTCATATACATTTACCACAAAATACAAAAATGTTATGTTTTTCCTGGTGGAAATTACTTTGGACTGAAAAGCCTTAAAACTGAAAAACTTGTATTCTGAGGTACTTTTCGACAATAATTTAGAAACTGATTAAATATGATTTCAGGATTAGAAATACATGAGCTCGGAATTTACAAGATTCATTATCGAACTGCAACGGGGGTTCAGAGCAGAAAAACGTAATGAGCATGCGCGTGTTTTGGCCGCGCGCCAGGATCCATGTTTGAAAAAATGACGGAGTTTCGTCGATCGTGTAAAACAAAAAAGTTACGAACCTTATATGCTTTCCCAATTTTACCGTTAGCAGCAACATTTTCGGTGTATTGTTTTCATGGGGAATAAACTATATTTAGGACAAAATTAGCCTAGAGAAAGTTTCCAAACCCTGAGTTTTTTCCCCGCGGTATACAACAAATTTCGTTGCGATGACACATTTTTTCCACAAACCCTTTTTACATATTGCATCCATATAAATATATCATTCGATATAAAAGCAAGAGAGCCTCTCAGCAGGCAGGGGAAGCCTTGTTTTCTTAACAGTGAAATGCCAAAAATAGCCCAAGGATAAATAAATCAACCGAGCGACATCCTCACGTATCTTAAGGTAATTCTCCTGAGATAAAACTGTCGATAGATTTTTTTTCAAACTTTGTCCACGGAATATTTATCATATGAGAACTTTAATTATAAAATAAAAAGGAGGGATGCCCATGCTCGTTAAGGAGCAGTGAGGCACTGAAAATGTCCCATTTTGGCATTATTTAATGCTTATTACAAGAACGCATTCCAAGTTATTGCAAAATCTTTGTGAGCCCAGACTAATGAAAACACGCCTCAAACTACAGTGAATACTTGTGTCGGACACAAATAAACTTTTTAAGTTTGATTTTGACAGACAGCTGAATCCTTGTTCAAATATTGGACCCAAACTGCTTGCCACGGCTATCAAACTGCAAAATAGGAAAGACTATAGTGCAGCTGTTTTTTTCCTTATGTCTTCAATTTTCAGTCTTTTCTCACGCAAGGCTAATGATTAGTTGATTAAAACGACTGGAACAAAATTGGGGTGCCCGAGCTCGTTAGTGAACTGTAGCCATTTTTCAACTGACAGAACTCAATATCAAGGCAAATCTGCCATGTTTTCAATGTGCGCGGGCACGAGCGTGCGCTAGTGACGCCATAAATTATGCGCAACGCAAATGTAAGGAATCACCTTAATACAGTCCGCCGTTCTTTCTAACCATTGCTAAGCCATTATAACGCGCATTGTTATACCTCCCAACTCAAATACGTTTTCCGATTGGAGGAGAACGTGTCACGTGTCGTGGGTCAAAACTCACTAACTCCCTAGGGCGAACAATATACTCACTAACTCCCTAGGGAAACAACAACTTGAACTTTCGACTCGTACGTGATCAGGTCGTGTTCCTTGAAACCACAGCAAATTTGTCAGTTAGCATGCGTAAAGTAAACGATTTCTTCGCAGTTTTTTTTCTGTTTTTGAGTTGGGAGGAATAACAAAACACTCAATGACTGGCTCCGCAGGAAACAGAGTTTTGTTTCCCCTCGACCTCAATGTTCCCCTCGGCTTCGCCAAACTCACTGTTTCCGTTGGGGCCAGTCATTAAGTGTTTATTATTACCCAAGCCCGCAAGTAGGGCTAGGGATGCGCAGAAAGCCGCGCCGTACGTTTTTTCGGTCTGAGCAACGGAGGGGTTTCTTGGCGAGCGTTCGTTAGTTTCACATTCATTTTTTTTTCCAGACTACTAGACTCTGAAAAAGTCAAAGTTGTCATGAATTTGTTATTAACGGCATCCCTTAGAAATATCTGCATTTTTACTCATTATCTTATGGTCTTTAAGCACCATCTGAACCAAACGTTCAATTCACCATCAGCAAACTTAACATGCTGAATTATACCGAACTAAACGTAGCATTTGTTTCTTTCTCTGAGGAATTTATATCAACAAAAAATTGAACTGAAATACAGTGTTACTTGGGCTGACGCTAGAAAGTCTATAAAAGAAAACATGTTTTATTTTAAAAGAACGGTGACGCCAATATCTGGTCATCTATTATGTGTTAATACGCAATTACTGCAGTATTTTTTGTTTGATGTCGTCGCATTATCGAAACCACGCCTCGCAAGCAAATTTTTATTTAATTTCCAGGCAAACATCTTGAAAAGAATATGTTCTGCAAACTGAAGAGCTGAATAACTAATTCACTTTCATCACGTATAATTATAATAATTATTGTTTTTTCGTTGGAAAATGGCCAAGCCGGAAATTTCTAGAAAGCATTACGCATTGGTCTGACATCATCCCCCGGGTAACAAAATGCTAAGGTATTTACGGCTTGTCATGGTTTCAAGTTTTCTACACATTAATGAATGTCCAAGCAGTTTAAATTTCCTCAATTCGGGTCAAAATACCGGATGTCGCAAAGCATAAGTATTGTTCGTATAATAGTGCGTTTTCTTTTCGCCACTTTTCTACATGACAAAAGCCGGCTGCTGCTTCCCGCCTCGAGACGGAAACATATTCACTACATGATCATTATCAATCGCTTTTTTTTTTTAGTGGACCATACTAAGTGGACCAGACGGCTCCCTGAATTGAATCATCACAAAGTAAAAATTGGTTACCTCTATAAGAATATCTTTAAAAGAGAAGTCGATACAAAGGAACAGTCACTCTGGAAAGATGTGGACAGCAGCATCTTTAATAGTTTTTATTTATTCTTTGGGCGTTTGCAGAGGATGTGATCCAGACTTTCTCAATGTAAATCTTCTAGAGGAAGTTGAAAGCTGCAGCAGAATTGACAAGTCGGTTTCTATCTCCTGGCTCGATAGGCCGCCTTACATATATGACGAAAAAGCTCCAAGAAGTAGAAAAAACTCCGAGAAGTTACCAATGAAAACGGCTAATTCAAGCGAAGAATCCCAAGAAAAGGAGAGCAAGGAGAATGTTAAAGGTATCTTCTACGAAATTATCAATAAGGGACTGCGGTTATGCGGTGCCATATCCCGAGGAGGAGCGAACTTCACGACGAAAGCTCAAGACCTAAAACAGCTCGACCAGTATATTGTGAACAACATAGCCGACTTTGCCATGCCAGTACACGGCAGCGACGACGGCACATATGGTGGATACAGCTACGTTGAGATCTTGAAGTCTCCAGGTGTCGTCTTCATTGTGAACAAAGAAGAAACGAAGGAACATTTACGAAAACAAGTTGCACAAGCCATGAAGGACACTTGGCCCGTGATCGTTATAACACTCCTGTTAACTGGGTTTGCAGGATTGGTAATCTGGGGATTGGTGAGTACACGTTTATGTCGCAAAAATATTTTACTAAAAAAATATATTACTTTGCTAAAAGAAGGATAAATATGTTAATTGTAGACATATCGCGGTTAGGAAAACCTTAGTTGCGTGACAGACGCCTTAGAGTAGTTTTACAATTAAGGCTGGTAATTGGACGTGTTCCAAGAGGTTTTTTGATAAATAATTTATTCTGTATTGAATTTGCAATTGAATAGCTGTGGCAAACTATTTGTTTATCTGATTTAAAAGAAAAAAAAGAGTAAAGGAAAAAAAAAATAAAAGAAACAACATAGTAAAAAATAAAGAAAGTAGTTTTCACAGCCAGCGCATCGTTCCATGGTATTAGCAGAGTAAGAATTTTTTGATCCAGGTACGTAGTCATCAGGCCGAGTTATTAGAATTGAAATCATTTTGAGTTTGTCAACTTCCTTCGTCGAAGATTAAAGTTTAATGCTCAATCGAGCCATAACAATTAACCAAATAAAAGCTTTTGTTTTAATTTTTTCCCATGACATCTGTCGTGAAAGTCCAAATGTTTTTTAATTCTGTAAGTTTAAAGAACCACTCACGAATTACGTCTGAAAAGGGCATCACCTCAGTCTCGAACGTTTTCATGAAGTAGGTGCACTGTACTGACAACTCTTCTCGTGCGTTATTATATAGACACGAGTATTTCACTAGAAAATTCACCACTCGTAAAATTCATACCAAACCACATCCGGGACTCGGGCGTAATATCCTCACAAGCAAGAGAAAATGAGTCACAAGTGAAGATATTAATTGATGACTTCACTGATATCATGTTTGAACGTTAAACTGTACTTAAATTTCTTGGTGTATGATCGAAACATCTTCGGATCTTCCTTCATAGTTTTCGGTAATCTTCTGTTATCTTCGGAAATCTTCGGTCATTTTCGTTAATCTTCGGAAAATGTTTGGAAAAGTTTGAGTGGCCTTCGGACAATTCTTGGATAATCTCCGAAAATCTTCGGAAGGTGGTCGGGATTCTTCCGAACTCTTCGGAAAGTGGTCGGAAAATCGTCAAAAACGTCGTTATCAGTATATTTATATAATAAACAAAATAATACATGGTTGCTCGTAGATATGGNGGTTCCTAAGTCCCCTTTTGCTCGTTTCTTTGGAATCCTGTGGATTCTCACTGGCATTGTCCTCTGTTCCTTCTTCACTGCAACTTTCACAAGCGCCTTGACAGCCTCGTCCATCAAACAGCGAGAACCTCTGCTTGGGGTGAAGGTTGGTATTGAGAATCTTGCGCCTCTCGACAGTAAAACCTTGAAATTAGAAATATTACTTCTCCTTTCTTATTTCCAATTATTTCTTTCAAATTATCTCTGTGAATTTGGATGTTCATTAGGGGAATATCTTTTACTGACAGGAATCACAAAGGCATATCACTTCCAGTGGTAGGAAACTGACAATAATTGCTTGAGCATACGGATTTCGCGCGTTCATGCTCTCACATTCCTCCTAGTTTACTGCCTAGTTGTGTATTCGTGTGCCACTCATAACTTGAAAAACTACCCATCGTACTGAGTATCAATGAAGAATGATCCTAATGATACAAGACGAAACAGGCCAATTAAATGAGAAAACTGAGAAGTACTTTCTTCTGATGCAGGATTAGTTGTTATTGAGTATCTGAATATACTTACGGTACATAAAACAATTTTACACTGTCAGTGCATACAGTAAATAGGCGCCCTTAAAAATGTTGAACACATCTATTAGCAGAGGCTTCTTCAATTTTTCTTTAAGTTTAATCCTTTTTTCATGCAGGTTGCGGTCATTGCGGATAGCCATGCCTTCGAGGAGGCCATGAATCATGCGGCAAACGTGAAAGGTATGTAGACAAATTTTTACTCAATTTAGATCGGTAGAGTGGGAGGTTTGGTAGTTATAACAGTGTTCTGACGAATTGCAGACACAACAGGTTAGATCGCAAACTGATAACTTATGGGCGTGATGATTCTATTTCTTCTCATCACCCGTCGCCTTGATATTGCATTGGTGTTGGAAGGAGAAATTCAATTTTGATCACACATGAGAATTTAAGGACTCAACACGAGGGTACATCGAATTATTAAAACTACTGTGTAACATCAGGCCTTGAATTTCTTTTAATAACCCAAGTTATCATGCAATATTGATAAAACGGCACTTCTGCCCTGATTGCGGTTTAAATTTTAAAAAAGTGTGTTACACAGAAACTCCTAACCAACCAGGAAGCTTGGAAGTTATAAAACCCAGTCCGCTCATCGCAAATCACTCAATTTATTATTTCTGTACACAAGACTATCCCAACTTCTACCAAATGTACGATGCACTGGTGAAAACGAGAGAAGTGGAGGGAATCTTAGCGGATATTTACACAGCCTCGTATTACATGGAAGAAATCGACGACCCTCGATTGGCCGTCTCCATGACCTTGAGCAGTCAGCGCTCCATTGGTTTAGTGATCGGACATGATGAGAATAACGAAGAGCTATCCAAGACAGGGGAATGCTTAAGAAAGTTATTCAAATACAGACAGCGCGATATCAAAAAGATCATCTTCCAACACACCCACGCTTTTCACGTGAGTTGAGAAATCTATATGATCTTATCTGGTTTCAGAAGAAGTGGGTAGACTTGTGTAGTTTGCAATTTGTATTGTGACATTTCATACAAAAGCAGGACTAGCCCTCCTCATTCCCCAGTCGACAACTTCGACATTGAGAAAAATGAAAAGTTTATTATGTCCCGACCGTGGGACAAAATAGAATCTGAGTCCACAGCATGATTCGAACCCATGACCTCTCAGGTCTTCCTTCAATATTTTTATAAGCCGTCACCCTTTTTTATACAGATCAAATTATCCTAAGTGATACTAGCTTGTGTGCTTGTACAAGGTATGTTCAGAGTAATCTTTAACCAAGCTGTATATGTTTACTTCTAAATACAAAAGTGCAAGAAGCATTATTGCACTTAAAAGTGCTTCTAACATTGGTATAATTGTCTGTATCTAAGAAAAAAAATTGGTGTATTTCTGAAAACAATTACTTGATTCGCAACAGCAAAATGTACTCTTTTGGGCACAGTATATTTTTGCCTTGGTTCAATTTTTATTTTCCTTTGTTCTTTTGTCTGAGAAAAAATATAAAAATTAACCGAATGATAAGAATGGTCCATGACATATCTATTACAATAGTTTCTTGATTGCTAGATTAATTAGCAAAACGTCGAGTCGAAGTCCCCGACAAATCTGTTGAATATAGCCTAAATAATAAACTAGCATTCTGTACGCATTGTGGGCCTATGATCCTAGACAACGATGTTACCGGAAGCAACTCAGGTGAATGTTTTGTTTACTTTCAAGACCCAAACCCAGAACCGCAGTTTGACAGATGACAATAACGACATTTTGGCGTTACTGGATGGCGACTCCCGCTGGTTTAGGAAGACTTTCCTCGCTCTTCTTATATCGTTTGTCTCGATTCTGGCTATTGGATTTACATACGACAACTGCATCACAAAGTTGAGGGCCCAGAGACTTAGAAGTGGGTGAATTCTTTCATAAATCACCTTCTTTCTCATTTACTATTCTTAAGATATAGCGTCTAACATGAAGTGTAACGAGATAATGAAACCTGCTCAGTAGCAGGAGGGGCCGGGCAGAGTACTAAGGACAGTGTAGGATGGGACAGGGTAGGGTGGGCTAGATAAGATAAAGTAGGGCAGGGTAGGTGGGCTAGGTAAGATAAAGTAGGGCAGGGTAGGATGGGTAGGTAAGATAAAGTAGGGCAGGGTAGGGTGGGCTAGATAACATAAAGTAGGGCAGGGTAGGGTGGGCCAGGTAACATAAAGAAGGGCAGGGTAGGGTGTGCTAGGTAAGATAAAGTAGGGCAAAGTAGGGCAGGGTAGGGTGGGCTAGATAAGATAAAGTAGGGTAAGGTAAGATAAAGTAGGGTAGGGTAGGGTGGGCTAGGTAAGATAAAGTAGGGCAGGGTCGGGTGGTCTAGGTAAAATAAAGTAGGGCAGAGTAACATGGGTTAGGTTAGATAAAGTAGCCAGGGCGGAGTAGGGTAAAGCTTCCAGAACAATGTATAGAAGTGTATCCTGATGCGAAACACGCGTGAAAGTTTTGTTTTGTTTTGCGTTTTTTGGTTACTTTTGGTTTCATTTTTTCTTTATGACAACAGACCTATGACCGCGCTGTAAAAAGTTTTCTCTGAATGTTTTTTCTAAGAAAGGTTTCTAAAATCAGGCTGAACGGACTTTGGTAGAGACAATAACGAGTCTACAATGAAAGCTAAATAAGTATCTGAGTATCAATCGTGACAACCTGATTTTCATTGTTTTGTAGGACCTAATGGTTGCAGCATCAACTCGTTCAACTTGGAAGCCAGGTTACCGACCTGCAAACCAAATCGCTGAAACAGCTTACTTGAATGACAGCTTGGGAGTCAAAGAATAATTCACTTAAGGGTTTAGGCATTCGCTTCGTTTGCTAACCTCAAACGATAACTTAAGTAGTGAAAAACAATAAACTCTGTAGCGTAATTTGTGACGCAGATTCTTACGAACTCGAGCAATCACTCTCAAGGTATTAGTAAGTGTAGGAAATCGCATGAGACCAGGAAATCACGCTAGTTCTGTTCTGGCTCTTCTTCCGTCACGCAATACTACGAACTAGGAGAAGATCGATCTCTGGTAAAAGAGTATTCTCTCTGGAGCGTAGAGTTGCGTAGAGAGGGCCAGAATTGGGCTAATATGGGGCGTGTTGCAGAAATTTGTAGAAATTCGCATGAAACTGAGCTACTTGTTAAGACTGAAAACAAGTTATATTACTCCTTAATCTTTTGAGGAATTATTCAATAACTTTCTTTAAACATAAGCGGAAAACTATTATGGCAAATATATCGTAACTTATCTTCGGCAATCTTCGGGAGGTTATCCTTGAAAGTCTTTGAATCGTCTTCGGCAATCTACGGATGTATTCCGCTCATCTTCAGAGATAACTCTTGCAAATTTTTAATCGTCGAGGAGTTTTGGGAATCTTTGGAGTCAGTTTTCCTCCACGAACACAAAATTACCAGCCTATCAAAATTCAGTAGGGTTGCCCACTACATCAAAAATATGCCATGTTTGTCACTTGTAAACAACTTTATCCTTTTAATTTAATTCTTATTAACATCCGCTAACGAATTTTATGTACTTGATACTTGTAGGTGAAGAGATCAGAAAGCCAACTACTAAAAATTTGAGACACAATAATAAAAGTGTTGTCAAAGTATCTTTCTGTGAGTTGTTTCTCGTAGTTACATCAATACCAAACTGTCATTTCTTATTTCAAATCTCAAAATACGAATTCTCCTTCATGCTTGCTATAAATTGCTTTTTATCTCAGTTTTGAGAATTTCCCAGGGCATCAATTTCTGTGGTGGATATTTGGGAGTGGTTTGGAAACCCGACTGCCCATAGTACCCCGGTAAGGCCTTATTTGCGAGAAGTATTTCGATAAGGATTTTTCTCAGTCCAGGTCTGACCATTACTCCGGAGCCCCACCGTTTGATTTGGATCCCAATGTTTTACTTCAAGTCACCACCGTTTTAATTAATCCGGGGGCCCCGCTGCTTAAAAATACGATAAATACAATTCTTTTATTACTTTCTCCCAAGCGAGTTTATTTCAGGACTAATTTACAGTGATAAAACCTTTTGAGAAACTAATAAAAATTACATCAAAGCATTTAGATTAAGAGTAGATTACACTGAGACTAGATTTCACTCTGAACCCGGGGCGTTTGCCTCGGCCCCCACCATTTACTCAGGGTCTGCAGTGTTTTTGGTCTGGGTCTGCAGCTAAACTCGTTTTTGTTATTTATCACCTCGTATCCAACTTGGGTTCACGAAATAATTGTTACATATGTCAACAAGATATTTCTACACCTTGCTGGAATTGAATTTTGCTATAAAGATACTCAATTATTCTGAACAAGTCTTATTTGCAAAAAGTTTCCTGCACTTCACTGACAAATCGGCATTTTCCGGTTAACTTGGGAGTACTACATATAAACCTGACGCGGGTTTATGTCAGTTAAGGTCCACACAGATTGAAAATTTGGTGGAAGATCACAGAGGTGACACGGCGGCTTTAATTAAATAACAAAGCCCACCCTCAAACGAGGCAGATATTTTTAGAGAAGTTGCCTTCCAGTACGCAACACCATTGCATCTCTACGACAAAGCCAACAGCCGTCCAGCACCCTCGCTGGGATCGACCTTCTTNTGAATTAAAGCAAGGCGGACACCGTTTTGCTCGCTATGTAATCCCTCCTCCTTAAAGGTTGCGTGACAAGCCAAAGAAGCGACCTGCCAACGTAGACGATCTCTACCAAGATTATTTGCTAGTTTCTACAGTGCAAATTCGGTCTTTCTATGGAGATTTGTTCAGACAAGGTGACAGCTCTTATGATGTTGCAATGTTGTCCGATTGGTGTTGAAAAATTACTAAAATACTAAGAGCAAGACAGAAAAAATGTCACGTCAGCTTGTCGCCGTGACGATTCGTTGTTACTAAGCAACCTGTCTGAGGAGCTCATTGCAGTACTGTACCAACACACATAATCCGTTTCAGGCTTGTTAATCAAAATGTCGGAGTTGTTATCCTGTTATTCTAAGAGAACTTCAGGCTGATGAATACATATAGATCACATTGGATAGTTGAACATGACATCTTGACGCGCCAACTCTAACAACATAGGATCGTCGAAGAATTTGTTGATGCTGACATCCTCGCTCAGACCCTGAAGAAAATAAATAAATAAATAAAATATTAAACAAATCACACTTTTTAGAGAGGAATCCACTTCGGCTTTAGCTAGTTTTCATCTATCCTGGTCGAAATGGAATCTGGAGTGCTGGTTGTTGTGGAGCAGAGCAGGAAAAAAAAATTGAACAGTGGCCCAGTACATTTCAGTTTTCAGTTGCTCAAACTAAAATATTACTGGTCCAATAGGCGCACAATGTTCATGCCTTATCAACTACATCATTTACTGGGTACTGTCTATGGATTTTAAATTAATCCTTGCTTTCAACTCATTGTTTTGCTCATCTTGCTGTCTTAAGAGAGAAAAACCCTCGGGGCAACGCGAGAACCAACAACAAACTCAACCCACATATGGCACCGGGAGAAAAGAAGAAGTATAGTGGGATTTATGGCTCCCCCAGAAATCAAGTCAGTTATTTTGCTGCTATTAATTTACCCAGTATTGTAACTGGTTAAAATAGTGCTAAGTAATGGCAAAGTAGATGTTAATCAAACAATCAAGGCAACACTCACCTTCCTTCTCCTTGTTTTGATCATGAATTCTCTGGCAAGATGCGTGGCCGGCTGTGGTTCTAATGGACGAATGTTGATGCTTTTGTCCAGCGGATCACCAGGGACAATCTGGTAGACAAACATGAAGTATTAAATGTTGTCGAGTACAATATTACGAAACGCGGTCTTCAGGCGATTGTCGCAATTTTCTTCGGTCTGAGGATCTTTCGGATAAAAGTCAGACGTAAGCCAGTCTCATTTTTCCACTTTCCTTGGATTTTTTCCCCTTTTTACCAGGGTTAAGCGCTGTCTGCGTACTGCAGTAGTGCTTGCTAATGGGCAGTTATTTTACAGTTGGTGTGAAGACCTTTTGATTGCTAACGAAAGTGAAGGAAATTCAGTTTACCTGCCAGTGATGAAACACCGAGAGACAGAAAGCTTGTCCTTGAGTGTGTGTTCTCAGATCAGTTTCAAATCCAAACGAGTCGATAGCGGGAATGAAAGCTTTGACGGTGTACAGCGGTGAGCCTGGAACTGGCGCATCTTGAGTGACATGACCTCTGAACGAGACGAAACATACACAGTGGTTATTACAGCAAGACTATATGAACCCCACACTTCGCTCTGACCAAGGGCTTACGCTCAAAATGTCAGCTTCAAAATCTCGCCGACGTTTATTTTTCCTTTAGCAACTTCAATGGCCAATTGTCTCTGTGAAACACGCCTGCAAGGAATCATGGTAGTTGTATTCATCAAAACAAATATCCAGTCCAAGATGATGACTACAACTACCATGATTCCCTGCAGGCGTGTTTCGTAGAGGAAATTGACCACTAAGTCCTGCATTGTAAGTAGTGTTCTTTGTGTGGAAATAAAACCAAATAAAAATTCTGTTAAAAAAATTTCAAACTTCAAGTTGATAAATAGTTATAGGTACCCAGATTGACATAACTGATTACCGCCTTCGTGTCATGTGACCCTGAACAAGGTTCTTGAAATAAACAAAGCAGCTAGTGGCCACTAAGAACTATACGCTGATTACTTCAGACACCCTAGGTTTCTCAATAAAAAAAAGCAATCGGGTCGCTGTAAAAACGGCATCATGCTGAGTGCTTGTTCTTTCTAACTTCAAACAAAACACCCCAAACACACCTTCGGCGAGCAAGCACCGTGTAGACCGAGGACACGCAATCAGCGGGGGCCTGGACCTCCACGAAGAAATACGGCTCCATCAGACGGGGAGTGGCCTGGAAAAGAAAAAAAAAAACAAACATCTCGCTGTTAGGCTGCAAAAGCTTTTCTGTAATAGATCAGAGGACGACAATAAAGCCAAAGTTTCAAATGCAAAATCTAAGAAAACAAGTAAAAGCTAGTCGAAAACAACTCTAAACAAAATGTACATGTCAAAATGTACACGTTCCTAGGGCCAGTCAGAGGTTCAACTCGTCATTTTTAATAAATCTTCTTCGAGCATCGGCAACTTTCCGAATCCAACCATCCGATCAAAACAAGCGAACACTCGCGAATTCCCCGAAAACTGTTACGTCAGCATGACGTAAAATGACTACGTCACTGTTACTTAGCAACCTCCCTTCAAAGGAGACAAGATTCCAGTTGGAAAAGATAGTTTTCCTCACGACAGAAGGTAGCTTACCATCAGAAAAGCTGAGTATGCCACTCGTCGGGCTGTTGGAATGATTTGTCCTCCCCCTCTGTGGATTGGCTCTCCAGCAATCACCGCATCCAAGATCTTGAACTTCACATTTCTTATGGCTGTAAGTATTAAATGATCACAAAATCAACATCTAGTACATGGCTAAATCAATTAATAAATCAATCTCGAAAGAATGTGTTTGACCACATTCCAAACACCAAGCTAAGAGAGTTTTAAACATGACACATAGCGGCGTATTTTTGACGAACTTCGAGGTGTTTGAAAATGTGGTCAAACACTGTCTTTAGTAGACTTTACTTTTAGAGGACCCCCCTGCAGCTGAAAAGAACCTCTAGGTGATTGGAGGCCTCCTCTTAAAATATTAATTTATTATACGTTATTATTATAGTATATCTTGAGGGTTTAAAATATCTCCTCGATCAAACCTAAAACTAAGGAAAAAACGGAGAAATTTTTCGGTCTTTCTTTCTCACTTGTTGTCTCCTATTTTCTTCGCGATCTGGAGGCCTGTAACAAGTTATTATGCACAGGCATATCCTGAATTTAAAGCTTCACCAGAACTCCCATGACCTCAGTCCTAAATCGTGTTTTCTTTACCAAGAGAAGTAGCAGTAGTAGTTATTGCAGTACTCACGTTCGTCACAAAGCGGTCCCTCTCTCGTCGCCCATTGGAAACCTTGAATAATGGAGTCTTTGACAGTGTTAAGCAAACTCTTGTCCACCTAGAAACAAAAGGTAAACAAATGCACGTTACATTCATTTACCAACACATAAATCAGGAACTTTAACCGGACAGAACCCAAGACCCAGAGTATCCTTGATCTGTACACAGGACACAGAGTACACTGATAGCCTCTTGTGAGGGATTTTGTACACTTGCCGAGATTTTGTGAAAAACTGTTTACTAACATAAAATACTCCTAGGCGGCAGCGTTCACACTAGACCGTACGCCGGAAAAATTTCGAAAAGCAGCTTTATTTCTACGGTTAGGCCTCCTTGCGGAGGTCTTCGAAAACGCTCTTCAAACCGGAAGAATTTGAAAACGCTGGCTTTCCGTTTTCGTGTGGACGGAAAACATTTTGAAATCGGAGTTTTTCGAAAACGAGGGCGTCACGATAATAATGCGATTTCACTGACCGTGTTCTCCTCAAACACAAATCCAAAATGACCGCTGATTGTTGCGTTTTTAAATTCCTCCGGCGTAGTGTGAACAGAAACATTTGATACGTTTTCAGAGTGAAACTTCCGTTTTCAAATCGCCACTATTTCTTTCAGCGTTAAATTGAAGAATCGGCTGTGGACACTCAATACAAAAATACGGGAGGGCGTTAAGTTCAGAGGGTTTTTATTGAAAGGGACACTTACTAAGACAACATCCCTTGGTCGAAAACTATAAATAAAAAAATACATTTTTGAGTTCAATAAAGTAATCAGTTTTCATTTTACCTCTGACGGCAGCGTATCATCCACCAGAATATTAGGTCCTGAGTTATCAGGTCCAAAGGCCCAGATTGAGCGTGCAGCCAGCAAATCCCAGTCGTATTTGGTTTGAAAGAATTCTCCCAGCTTCTTTCTGTGTTATTAAAAAAAAATGTTCACGTTGAGCAAGAAACCATCACTGACTAGATTGACACTTGTAGGCCTCAACCACGTCGCTCTTGGGGTCAAAACCGTTTTGTTTACCATGCCATCAATGATTGGAACACTTGAACAGATGCAATTGGCCACGTTTGATATACCAATATTCTAATATGGCTCCGAGGCTTTCGGGTCAAAATGGTAAGTTTATTTTGTCTCTCAGTTCCCAAAAGAGACTTATATACAAAGAAAACAACACGAAATATAGAAGTTTGTACTGAAAGCCTCGGAGCCATGTTGGAATATCGATACATTGAACGTAGCCTCTTATTGACTAAACTTACTTGTTCCAAGTAATCAACACTTTTTCATTCTCTATGTCCTCAGCTAAGCCTTTCTCCAAAGGTTCAGCTATCATGGTGACCTTGTTCCTAGAGACAGAAAAATAAGATTAAAAGAACATTTGACAAGAGTAACGAGGGGCATGTGAAAAATGAAAACGCAAAAGATGTCTCACTTCTTATTTGGTGTTTCTGCGAAGCATTTTAAGGATGAAGTCTCCACCACTGTTTCACAGAACGCCACAACAGGATCAGCGACCTTGATATCTGCAAAACAAACATAAATACTGAAAGTTACTGATGGCGGTCTAAATCACCAAATCATTCTCATCAGCGTTTTCCGCTTTTGATTATAACTATCGGTAGCTCTCGATTACTCTTGGGGAAAAAACTAGGCAGATCATATTAAAATGTCCTAGCTAATATAGTGACAGAAACGGCTTACGGCTCCTTCTTGGTGTAAAAGACACAGGACACGTCACAATAGAACACCGCCTCACAAGGCTATTTTTTCATTTTATTCCTCGTTGTATTATCTTTTTGATCTCTCTTGTTTTACGTCAACTGTGTCTTCTACACCAAGTGAGAGCCCGGCTTACGGTATACTTTCCAAAACAAACACAAATGCTGCAAAACCCTGGCTTTAAATTTCAACGTTTAAGGTGATGAACATCGAAATTCCCCTTACACTATCACATAGAATCAAGCAGGTAAGCCAGGAGAATAAAGGAAATCATCAGCTAGGAACACAAGAGATCTACCTATCTCGGAGTACATCTTTCTCAAATCGTGCAGGACACAGTCTAAATACAGCTCTCCTGTACCCAGGATCACGTGTTCTCCGGACTCTTCAACCTGCCAAACAGGATCAAAAACCGGTAATACTTGATTAACCGTTTCACTGTGATGGTATATGATATGTAAATTCTTCTCACAGTACCTATACATTTTCAAAGAGAAAGGTAATAAGAATAAAGAAAGTCATCACTGAACTTTGAGATGATGTTTCGAGTCACCAGTAAATTCACAGAACTATTTAATTGTTAATTGTTAACGAGTTAACACAGAAGAAGGATCATTCAGTCAGCGTCATTAGGACGAGAGAGCGATACTTCACTGTGTTAGGATCCTCTGATTCGCTCACGGCGCGGCATAAGACGACTGAGTTAGGTCAATCTCGTTCCCAGAGTCTTCGTTCCCCTTGACCAGCGGTCGGAAAAAGAGAGCTCTGGGTGCAACCATTTCAGGCGTGCGCAATAGATACAGACCGCGCAGTGAAACTGGTTGGGCAGAATTCGGTTTTTTCAAAATGGTTGCTCCCAGAGCTCTCGTTTTCCGACCGCTGGTCAAGGGGAACGAAGACTCAGAGATTGGAGTTAAGTCAGAAACCTTTATCCTAAATCATTCGTAATCCGTCTCAATCTTTCCAAATCTCATCCATCCTTGTTTCTTTTGTTTTAAGAATACTTCTTTGATATTTTTCTATCTTAGTAAAGTATTATTTTGAGTGCTTCTTCGATTTCAAGCAACCTCCGTACACATTGTCAAAAATATCATTGACTTGATTCTTCCACGATCCTGACGAGCAACGTAGTTCAAAAGGAATAAAACAAACCTTTGTAGTAAGCAAGGGATAGCTCTTGTTGACCTTCCTCAGACCATCCAACATTTTAGGAAGCTCGGAAGGATTGTGAGGCTCAACAGCGATCTTGATAGCTGAACACGTGTTGAACTTTAAAGGTCTGAAGATGTACGCCTGAAAATGAACACAACGCCAAGCATGTAGAGTAACTTCAAAATGAAGTAGATGTCTTAAATCCGAGATTCTACGTTGAGCTCAATATTTATAAGTGAAGTAGGTTGAGTTTTGTTGTCAAATTTCTGTATTGGTCGACTGTCGGTAACCTTTCGGTGGTCTGTCGGTTATTTGCCGAGCGACAGTTTCCTTTGGGGAGCTGTTCTGCACAGTTACCTAAATTCTTATCTTTAGATCTGCAGGGCAAATAAAATCATCGCAATGTAATGATAATGACGGTCAGCGTACGAGCCAAACAGTCCACAGCATTTACAGCCTTGCCTTGGCTTCAGTTTACAGTGCTATTCATACCTCGTCATTGCCTTGCACTTGAGTGATGGTTGATGTCTTTACAATGGGTTCGTCGATTCCTTCGATTAGTACCCAGTTTCCAGCCGGCACGCGGCTGACTTCTATGTTGTACCTGTAAATAAAATCCAGCCTTTTCAGTCAATATTGTTTTAGGACAATGGGCCAATGTAGAAAGCAAACAAAAAGGGGAATTACTCCTGGCAAATTCTCTCGGAGTATTTTTAATCTTCTATCAAGCGAGTTCCCAATAGTGGTACGAAACCTTTCTCTTATTGTATACATGAAGTGTACATGAACAATCACTCAAAACAAAATCTCGAAACGACATCAACAAGATTGAACATCGGGAGAAGAAATATCTATAAACTACCTTGCTTCGGCAATCCACAGTCTGCCAACCTAAAGGTACAAAAAGATACAGAATTAGTTTTAGCTGTTTAAAAGCGATATCAAGAAAAATTTCTTCAGTAAGAAGGGTTAGTTCTTACCGTTCCAACCCGCGAATCTTCTTCGTCTTCTATGGTGTAATTCTCGCCGAGAATCCTAGCTTGCTGACCGGCATAAACTGCGACCAAGAGGAATAACATTGTAATCATGATAGAGCGGTTTTCGTAAAACCAAAACCAAAGTAACCCCTTTAGCCAATCACAAAGGACATAGACAATCCAATGAACCAATCAAAACTTGCAGTAAATACATGCAGCTGACACAAAGCGCGGGAAAACGTGAGCGAGCGAGTCACCATTGGTTTCGGTTTTACTTCTGCATAATTGGATGAAAAAGTTGCACGAGTTTTTTAACCCAACCGTGGAGCGTGGAACCGTAGTAATGCAAAACTAATAATTTTTAGACACTTAACTGATGACCGCTCTAGCTGATTGAAGAAATTAAACACGCACTGTGGGTTAGAATTATCAAACATGGCACCATCTACTCACTTGTACCACTCATAACGCGCCCAAACACGTGGAAAGCTGTAGCATCTTGTGATGGATACTGTTTGGATATGTGAAGCATCAGCGGTCCCTAATGGTCAATATCAAAAATAGACTTTACTACAATCTAACGTTCTGTACCATGCAGACAATCTATAAAGTTTGCTTACTGCGCCTTTCAATAACATGCGGACTCTAAAATTCAGAGTTCAACTGACAAATGCGTTTTTCGCTACCGTCAATCAAATGTTCGGCGGCTCCTCCCAGCTTCCGACCACTGCCGAGGGTGCGGTAATGAAATCGTTGAGTACAGTTCAGACAACGAAACAGTGCTCGGCAGTAGTCGGAAGCTGGGAGGAGCCGCCGAACACTTGATTGACGGCGGCAAAAAAACGCATTTGTCGGTTGAGCTTTGAATTTTAGGGTCCGCATGTTATTGAAAGGAGCAGTAAATGTTGTTTTAGACTGCCTGACGATGGTTCCCTATTCCGGTATCTGATTCTCCAGTACATGTACAAGAGCAATTAAAAGTTTAGTGTTGCAAGGGGGGAATGTTTT